CCACCAGGATTCGCGGTCTCTCTTCAGGCTAGCACGGAGTTTTGCCCGGAGCTCTTTGCGAGTTTCATTGTGCTCGCTTCCAGTCGGAATATGCCGGCGAGCATCGATAAGTTCCAGAGACTGTGAAGAGACACAATGTCCATGTTGGCGATTGGACATACCACATGAGGATTTTTCTGCTGCTAGTAAGGTCCGGTGAATATGTGACCAGTGAGCTTCAACTGCATCCAGTGAGCATTTATACCAACGCGCATGACAGCGTACTTTGATAGGCATTCAGAACAGCTGGCTTCGCCAGTTGGCTGGTGTCAATGCGCTCACATCGTCGTCGTGAGTGTCAGCCAAAGCGCATCCGCAGGTCAGCACATACAATTGCATGGTCGGTGTCCACACCTATGCTCCAAATCGAGCGACAGTTCTGGACGCAGCCTTTCCATCGGTAACTTATCGCAATGTGATCGATTTGCGTCCATAGCTGGTTCGAGACTGGTGGGCGCCAAGTCACCCTCCGGCGGGTGCTGTGTCGGAAATTAGTGCTCGCAAGAAATAAGCGAGCATCCTCACACAAATGAAGTAACCGCTCACCATTATCATTACGGGAGCCTACACCATGTTGGCCGCCCAGATACAGCTCATCAGTGGATAATTTTCCAACTTGAGCGTTCAGATCCCCAGCCAACACTACAGTGTCCGAGCTTTTACTGTGGCGAAGGAGTTCGTTCTGTTGACGATAGAAGTCGTCTTTTACCGAGTCATGGCTACAGTTTGTCGCTGGATATGCAGCGATAACGAATAGACACCTGTTAGTCACACGCGATTTCGAAGTTTTGAACGAGCCAGCCAATCGGACCGCATACATACGGCTACTGATTGGAATCCAATCAAGCAGAACAGCTTCAGCCCGAGGACTCAAGGGAATACCAACACCGGCTTGACCGGTGCTCGAAGCTGCATCCTCACCTGACAGTCGCAATGAGAAAGTGCTGCTAGTGTAACCTGAAGGAGATCGCAGAGTGAGTACAGAGCTTGAGTCTTGCAGGCGGGTCTCCGATAAGCAGCTGATATCGATCGAGAGGGTCTCTAATGTTCGGGCAAGTGCTGCCTGTTGACCGAGCTGAAGCAATGAGCGAACATTGAGGCATGCCAATCTGAAGGAGGATCGAGGGCTCCAAATGGAAGCCGATGAACTGGAATGGGCCACTTGCTTGGACATGGGCCTGTTGACAGGGCAGGAATGACGCTCCGCGTTCACATGTGAGTTGAATCTAAAAGACAAGCGACTATTGAAGCAAGGTGGGGGAGGGCCGAGAATTGGGGGGTTGAAAACAGGAGGATAAAAGTGAAGTTGGAACGGGACGGTAAGAGAGAAAAGGCGTAAGAGAGGGAGAATAAGCAGACGGGAAGGCTTGAGCATCAGCATCCAAAACCTATCCACCCTGCCCGAAGCAGCAGATATGGCACCGTTGATTATCCTCTGCGGTGGCCAGAGCATCAGAAATTTGTTTGAAGTGAGATTCATTGTATTGCGTGGGCAGGATACTGTCAGCTTGCCCTGGCCTAGACAGCAGAACGATTAGGGTTCTCAACCAAAGCTTTTGGTTTAAAGACCTGACCGCAAGGCAGCGGGTTTGGCACTGGACTACAAGGAGTCCGTTTTAAGGAATAAGGAGCCACCCTCATTCCAACCCCCAACCTGAAGGACCAGGAGGCTGAGTTTCTCTGGCCTCTAACCATTGACCAATCTGGTATGAGTGACTCTGAAGGTGCAAAAATGCACCACCCAATATAGCTCAATGGATCACTGAGACACACAAACCATCGCACCACGGTAAGGCCCAGCCTCATTTCGATAGGGTCCAGCCTCATTGCGATAACATAACTTCCTGTATTATCCAAAGTTATGGAATCAATCATCGCAGACGCGTTGTTGCAGTATCTGGAAAGCCACAACTTAATAGCCCCAGAGCAACATGGCTTTCGTCAACAGCATTCGTGTAATACTAATCTATTAATTGCACGTAATACTGAATACTGTATTATAGAGCAAGTAGGTGGACTAAAGCTGTTGATGATGGAACGGGAGTCGATGTCATTTACCTGGACTTCTCAAAAGCTTTTAATCGCTTAAACCATCGAATTTTCTTTCAGAAGCTTCGAAACTACGGCATTAGATTAGCAATTAGCATTAGGATTAGCAATTTTCTACACGAACGACGGCTAGAGGTGAGAGTCCGAGAATCATTGTCCAATGCAATCGATGTGGTGTGTGGTGTTTCACAAGGCTCGGTGCTTGGATCTCCTCTATTCTTGGTGTTCAGTAACGAATTGGCGAGATCAGTTGCTTCCGATTTCCTATACATCGCTGACGATATCAAGATATGGAGAAGGATCAGAGGACCGGACGATCACGAATGGTTCCAGTGCGATCTTAACACGATGTCGAACTGATCAGTTCAAAACGCCATACCATTCAACGTAGACAAACGTCTCGTTGTGCAATTACGCCCTAGACATAAGTCCATCTATTTGTTTGGGACAAACGGATTGCAGACCAGCTCCCAGGAATGTGACCTTGGTGCGCTCGTACACACCGACCTCGACTGTTCAAAACAGGCTGAGGCACCTGCGAAAAGAGGCAACCAGCAGGTCGCCATGCTGCGAAGGGCATTCGGGAGATTTGACCCAACAATCATCGCAATGATGCACAATTCATACATGCGCCCGCATGTTGGATACGCTAACCAAGCTTGGCAACCTTGGTTGAAGCGCGACCTAGAAGCGTTAGAGGCATCACAACGAAGAGCAACAAAGAATATAAAGGGCCTGCGCTATCCCTCTAACCATAGAAGGCTGAAGTTGCTGGAAATTTTCATCGGACGCTATCGAAGGCTGCGCGGCGATCTCATATTAACGTACCAGATATTGAGTTACCCCAACCGATAACCCAACCGCCACTAGCTAAATCTTAGCCACAACAAGCAGCTCAGGGGGAACTGCTTAAAGTTGAGGGAAAAATATAGCCGTCTAGAGAGTCGACATAATTACTTTTCCCTTCGGGTTTGCCAACCTTGGAACGCACTCTCAGACTCAGTTATATCCTCTCCTATTTTGGAGGTTTCCAAAAAAGGATTAGATGTTGTTCTTATCTCCCAGCATTTTGTTAACTAAACTCATCTATTGTGGATTACGCCAAGTATGCTTTTCTACAGGATGTATGTATCAAATGGACCCAAGTGAGCGACCATATTTTACTTTTCTCACGCCTTATATCAACGATCACTGCACCCCAGTGTATTTCTGAACGTTTACGCTAGATTTTTTGAATTTTACACTAATGTTATTTCTCAAAGTATTCGTCTCGGCAGACGTTTGGCGGATGACCCACATATATTTCGATTTCATCGTATTTCCCCCAACCATCCTACGGGACGTGTCAAGCACTTGCTTTTATCCCGTGATAAATCGTTGTTCATTGTTCAACCGTCTTTGCATCGATATTGGAGTTCCGAGCATTGCTGAAGAAGCTGTTGCTATGGATCATCATTGTGCAGTGAAAATAATGGCAGCATTGCATTTTGATTCGTTGCTCCCGGGCCTTTGATCAAAAAGTAAGATCGTTAAGAACATCTTGCTATCTGACTGCAGTCGTTTGATTGACACCCAAGAAAACGTCAGCTGCATATTTCAGCAGCTTCGCCTCCCCTGGAATTGGCATTGAGCTAACATATATGAAAAAAGGAAATGGTGAGAGGATAGCTTCCTGAAGAAACCCGGAGTTTGTGATTAGCAGCGAGGAGCTTCAGTCCCCAAATCGGGTAACTTGAGTACGGCCGGTAAAATAATCAGTCAAAAGATGAACGTTGAAAGGAGGTGTTCCAGCACCGAATAGACCTTTAAGCAGTAATCCGCGGTTTATGCAACGGAACGCGTCCAAAAAGCAGATACATGTGAACTTGGTTCTATTGTCCAAGGATGGCAGAACCAGGTGCACAAATAGGCTATTGCGTTTAGGGCTAACCTCGAACTGGGGTAGGCAAATTAAAGAATCAGTTGACTTCTGTCGTGTCAACATTCTCACAAGAATACGTTTTTCGAACACGTTAAGGCTACCGAAGTACAAACAATTGGTCGATACTTGTTTGGTATTTTTGGTATTTTTGGTATTGATGTGCTTTTGATGCCTCTCCAGCAGTCGGCAGTATTAAATTGTTGAATGCATAGTGTGTAGAAAGTAGCCAGAGGTCGGGCCACAAAATCAACACATTTCTTGAGGACAACGGGAGACAGACTGTCTGGACCACTTGTTCCCCCTGAATGAAGCTGTTTCAGCAATTTCTGTATAGTTCCGCTGTCGACAGAGGGCAGTGCGTCTGCAGACACTTTAGGATGGGCAAAGGATGATTCAGAGAGCGAATCGTTATGGTCGTCGCAAAAGTCGTGGTTCAGTTCCTGCACATCTACGTCGGCGGTTGATGTATGTCGAGTAGGCCCGTTTAGATAGGGACTTGACTAAAGTGCTGTCTTTTCCTTGGAAACCTTTATGTGGGGGAAGAGAACCCGTCCGCAAGGATGAACAGAGTTTCGCCTGGACAGCAAATGTAAAAACATAAGTTCATTAACTTGTCAACTGATAGCAATACGTTGATGCATCAGTACCAAAAAAAACGGAAATCAGTGGATGATACCATTTATCGCCGTCTGTCAATATTCTGTGCGGAACACTGCGTCCACCTGAACTTGAGGTCAACGCAACGAGTTATCTCCTTATGGTTTATCTTAGAGTAGATCACAGGACACACTTTGGTTGTTGAGTGACCAGATAACAGTTCACCTTGTTCACAAATACTAGAACAAGAATCGAATCGGATCTAGTGGGACAAGTTAGGATATTTCGTAGTCCAAGACTTGTGAGAAAACCGGTGTCAAATAGGTTAGAATCACCGGCAAAAATACATAGTGAACAATCCATGTGTTCTATTACAGCCGCAGTAAACTCATCGTAAAATGTCTCTGCTTCAGATTTCGGACAGTTGGGGGAAATATAGATGTTAGCCAGTAAGATTGAGCGGTACCCACTAGTACATCACGGATTACCTCTCAGAACTAATCAGTTAATTCGTTTAGAAGAGAAGCAAAACAAAATTTTCGTGAATACGCATCAAGAAATGTTGGTGGAGATGGTGAGTAGACTGCCACGGTGACGGGGGTTGCAAGGACGGTCGTCTCGATGACATTGAACCCTTCTTCTCGATACAAATGCGTCATCCACCTGCCCGTGAAGCCATGTCTCCTGTAGTAAAATAATGCATAACTGCGAATATTCTCGGGAGTTGATGGTGCTTGTTAGTTCATCCATTTTGCCTAAGAGCGAACGAATAATTGAGGTAATTAGAAAAGGTATGCTCATGCTTCCCAGCTTCTCTCGAAGAATAACCTTCCATCCAATGCGATTTTCTTGCATAATTAGTGCGCATCTTGTAAATTCGTTTAAATTTACATCTTATAACGTGGTCGTTGGAAAAGGCACAGCTGGTGAGCGCGGAAACACATAGGCGATTTCAAATTTCGCGCGTGTAGGTCAACATGATAACAAATGTGGGCAGACAAAACGAAGCGGAATGATGATAGTTGGTATGGAGCCAAAAGTGGGTGTGTCAGGAATTTCACAGAAAGGAATCGTAGGGCACGGCCAAATTTGACGACCCCGCCTCGTTGTTTAGTCGCAGTTTTGATTTTCGGAGGGCTGTCTCCACAGCAAGTACTCTCTGTTCACTCATCGATGCACAAACCAATAAATGTCTGGCCCTTTTAGAACCAAACTGAGCTTCCGTCATGCTGCGATGAGCCAATCAGGGACTGTCTATTCCGGCTCGTGTTAACCGCACTTAATCGGCTTTCTATCCGTTGGACCCGCGCCGTTCCATTTGCCCAATTGTAGTACAGTTGAAACCGCAATGTATTGTTTAAATTGACCGCCATTACTTATGTCTCCTTTGCTTATTTTACAGGGCTTGGCGGACCGAATGCACAATGAATGAAGGGAATCAAAAGCCAAGCCCCAGTACCTGTTCCTTGTAAACTCGTTGTTTATATACTTGCTTGCCGTGTACCACGCTATTCGCATGCCGCGCTGTTGAATACATCTGTCTCGGTCCAGCTTGCTTGTTCTCGTGGTCGACTCAGTAGAGCATCGTCGTCTTGCATGATTGCCGTTTCGTACGTGCTACTGTGTTAGTTACTCGGTCGCTGATTCTCACGTGCCGTTCGTTTGTAGCCGGGACTTCTCGTCCGTGTCTCGAACCTGCCATTCGGAATATATTACAAATTGGCGTCGCGGGCAGTTCTACAAGTATGAGCAAAACTGATTTCAGCCCACCGAAGATTGAGTGTTGTGTCCGGGACACAAGTTTGCAGATCCAATCCCTCAGTCGCCAACCGCGTGTTTTCAGCCCGGGTGATGACTTTGAAAGCTGGTACTTTCAAGTCAACGCGTACATCGCTACAGCGCCAGAAAGGTCACTCGGCTCGATCATCCTCAGTTTCTTAAGCGAAGAAGCGTTGCAGATATTCTTAACAATGAGCGTACCTGCTAATTCACCAGTGGAAAAGATCTGGGCCACTCTCCGAAACTTGTTTTCCAAATGCCACCCCGTTGCGTTCTACCGTGACACATTCTTCGCTCGGCGTCAGCTACCCTCAGAGAACGCAGATGCCTTCCTCGCAGCCCTCCGAATTTTGGCTCACAAAGGGTTTCCAGATCTTCAATTCGCAGATCTGGAAAAGTGGATATGTGAGAGGTTCGCGATGGGCCTACGCGACCAATACCTCCGTGACAAATATACATTGAAACTTCCTCGTTCGCTGGAGGACGTTCTGGAGAAGGCCAGGAATCGGGAATTTCTGGAGCAAGTCAAAACCGACCGAACCCATCTTGGTCATGATAGTTGTTCAACTTTACGCCCATCGACCGACGTTTTCGCAGCTGATCACAGGCACCATTCCCCAGTACGAAAATCCCCCGTGGAGAACTGCGTATACTGTCAGCGGTTCGGCAGACGGGCCCAGCGCTGTGGACACAACCCACCTATCGTTTTTCGAAAACCCCGAGGTAGGTCAGCTTTGCACAATTGTCAGTTTTTGGCATCAACTTTCACTAGCAATCTACACTCTAAACCATTGACGATACCTGGGTGTTTAGATGATATTAGCGTGCATTTTTTGATTGATACTGGTGCTTCGTGTTCTCTACTTCGCCTTGATATAGCCCACAGCCTTAGGAACGTGTGCACGGTTACCAGCCAGCAGCCTCGTGTTATCACCGCCAATGGGGTGGAGTTGCGAACAGAGTTTACACTGCCTGCACGCGTAAAACTTGATGGGTAGTAGCCACTCATAACTTTATAGCTTGTCGAAATTTGACCTGGGACGCTATTTTGGGAATGGATTTCCTCACCCGTCATGGTTGTACAGTGGCACTCGGATGCGGGACCGTATTGATGAGTCCTGCGCCAACCGTCATTGATCATCAGCAGGACGGTCGAGGAGCGTTCACTATCGCAGCCACGTCTTCACTAGCAACGCATTTCCAAAAGGAGGTCATTGAGCCAATTATTGGACGCACTAACGTTACCACAGACAACACTGACCAGTTAATCTCAGTGCTACGAGAGTTTGAAGAGGTGTTTTCGACAGCTGATTCTCCTGGCCGTACGAACCTAGTTGAACATGAGATTGACACCATGTCCCACCGACCTATTCGTCAACATGCGCGCAGGTTACCAGTTCATTACGAACCGCAGTTAGAGTCAATGATCAAAGAGATGCTGGACAAACGTATCATTAAACCTTCATCGTCACCGTGGGCGTCGCCAATCGTTTTAGTGAAGAAGCAAGATGGGACCTTGCGGCTTTGTGTTGATTATCGAAAGCTTAACGAGGTAACACGTAAAGACTCATTTCCATTGCCCCGTATTGATGCCACATTCGATGCACTCCATGGTTCATGCTGGTTCTCTACGTTGGATCTTGCATGTGGTTACTGGCAAGTAGAAGTAAGACCCAAGGATCGTGAGAAAACGGCGTTCACCGTTCCCAACGGTCTATATGAATTTGAAACGATGCCTTTTGGTCTGGTTAATGCTCCGGCTACGTTTCAGAGACTAATGCAGAAAGCCCTGGAGGGTCTGACACCAGGTAGCTGTTTAATTTATTTGGACGACATAATCGTTTATGGGCGATCGATTGAGGAGCATAACCGGCGGCTGCGCCTCGTACTGGATCGGCTGCGCGTGGCGGGCTTGAAGCTACGGGGTCCAAAATGTCATTTTCTCCTGCGTGAAGTTAAGTACTTGGGGCACATTATCTCCCATGAAGGTGTGAGGACCGACCCCGCCAAATGTGAAAAAATTACTTCCTGGCCACAACCTAAAACGACAGCAGAACTCCGAAGTTTCTTGGGATTGGCTTCGTACTATCGACGGTTTATTTTTAATTTTGCGGCCATCTCAGCCCCCTTACATCGTTTAACTGAGAAGGGACGAAAATTCTGCTGGACTAACGAATGTCAGAATGCTTTTGCAGAGTTGAAAGTTCATCTTACGACACCCCAATCTTGGCTCTCCCTGACACCTCACCAGAGTCGGGAGCTTTTGTGTTGGATACAGATGCGAGCGATGAAGCGATCGGCGCAGTTTTATCCCAGAGAACTCCGGCGGGCGAAGTTGTGATCTCCTACGCTAGTCGCCGCTTAGATAAACGCGAGAGAAAGTACAGCACCACTCGACGGGAACTACTGGCGCTGGTTAGCTTTTTGCGACATTTTAGGCCGTACCTACTTGGAAAGTCATTTCAGGTTCGCACTGATCACCAGTCACTTCAGTGGTTAAAAAACTTTCGTGAGCCGGAGGGTCAGATAGCAAGATGGCAGGAACAGCTTCAAGAATACGATTTTACCTGCGAATATCGTCCCGGGACACGACACTAATGCAGACGCGCTGTCAAGGCTAGTGAGATCCGAACAGGTCAATTCGGCTTTCGTAACCCCAGAGACCGGTATTGCGTGGGCCGAAGAGCAAGCATGTGACCCGTACATAGCTAACACCTACAACCGACAGCTGAATGGCTCCTCGAAACCCACTGGAACTGAACTTCGTGAACGTACCACAGAAGAGCGCTCCCTACTCGGGCACTGGAAGGACTTGAGAATCATCGACGGTGTTCTGTATCGCGTTGATAAATCCGGTCCGAAACTGATTACTCCGATGACCCGATCTCTTGGAATACTACAAAAAGTTCATCAACAATTAGGCCATTCCGGTCAGTTAAAAACGGAGGCTGCAGTTCGACAACGGTATTGGTGGCCGGGCATCCACGCCGATGTCGTTCAATTCTGTGCGTCATGTGAGCTCTGTGCTACTTTGAAACCAATGGTGCCTGTCCCTCGTGCTCCTTTGGAACCAATAATTACTTCCGCACCAGGGCAACGAATTGGAGTAGATATCATTGGTCCTTTGCCGATAACAAAGAGCGGGAACTGCTTCATACTAGTTATGATAGATTACTTCACAAAATGGTGCGAGGCAATACCTATCAGATGCCAAAATGCATCCACTGTCGCTTCCACCATCGTCAACGAGTGGGTGGCTCGTTACGGCGCACCCATATCCTTGCACTCCGATCAGGGCGCGGCTTTCGAGAGTCATCTAATGCAAGAAATGTGCCGCTTGCTAGCCATTAAAAAGACACGAACTACACCGTATCATCCACAAGGAAATGGGCTGGTTGAGCGGACCAACAGGACTATCAAGGCTATTCTTCAGAGCTTCGTCGAACGCCATCAGTCCAATCAGTGGGACGAAGCATTGCCACAATGTATGCTTGCCTATCGGGCCTCGGTGCACTCTACAACCGGCTATTCTCCAGCTTACCTTACTCTCAGCCGTGAGATTCGCTTACCTCTGGAATTACTATCACCTGTCTGTCCGGTTGAAGCTTACTCTTTGTCGGAATACGTCCGCATAACCCGTGAGCGACTCCGCGTAGCCTTTCAAAGCGTGCAGGAGCATATGAACAGAGCGCAACACAGCCAGAAGGAGTATTACGATCGCCAAAGTCGAGGCCCTGAATACCGAAAAGGTGATCGTGTATGGCTACACCGACCAAGACCTCCAGCTGGCGCACCAGGAAAATTCCATCGGGAATGGCAGGGGCCATATGAGATTGTGTTCGTACGCTCGCCTACCGTGTATGTGCTTCGAAACGTTACGGATCCAAACGCCGACGTACTGACCGTTCATTACAACCAACTGAAACCGATGACACCGTCTTCAAGTTCTACGCCTGTAGATAGAATCGTGCCACCCGGTTGTCTCCCGATAGTCGAACACACTGTAGAAGTGCCAGCTGAGGGGGCCTCGCTGTGGTTCCAGATGCGCTGGCACTGGGGACAGTGCCTCACTTAGAAGGGGAGACAATGTAGTACAGTTGAAACCGCAATGTATTGTTTAAATTGACCGCCATTACTTATGTCTCCTTTGCTTATTTTACAGGGCTTGGCGGACCGAATGCACAATGAA